AGGGGGCTGTAGGGGAAGGGGGGTGGAGTGGAGGGGAAGGGGGGAAGGGCAGGGTGTCCTCCCGAGGAGTGTCCGCCAACTCCAGGCCTCCTCCCATCCACGCTCTAGGTTGTTTTTGTTGGAAACGCCCTCCTCTTCCTCTTGCTTTCCCCGCCCCTCCTCACTCCTTCCTCTGGAGAAAGTGAGACCCCCGGGCCTGACTGTGCTGGTGCGAAGCGGTTAGCGGTGAGTAGCACAGGGCGGACGGCCCCTCGAGGAAGAGTCTGGGGCGGGGGTTCGGAGAGGAAGGCTGCCTGCTGGAGAGCCCCTGGGGCCCGGGAGGAACGCGCTCCGGAGAGTTGGCTTCGCGCCCGGCCGCCTTGTCCCCGTTGGGCGGCTCCTGCGGGAGTGCAGGCCGCCCTGCGACAGGCTCCGCCTGCACTCGGGGGCATCCCCTCTGCGCAGCCCTCTATGAAGTCTGACCAGGTTTCCAAAAGAGTTATGATCACTTCTTTACACCCGGGGGCAGAGGGTCTTGTTATCTGAGAGACCCCTGCCTCAGGTTAGCAATGCGAGCAAATGGGGGAGATGTGATTCATTCTGGCTGTATGTGCTTTGTTTCCATAAAGTAAAACATATATTTCAAGACTTAGATTTTCCTTTCATTTACTTTCTGGTTTTGTTTATCTTAGGATGTACGATTTAATTGAATTTTTAATTTACATTGTACATTTGAAATGTAGCCACTAAAGCTATAATGCAGTAAGGTTGATTTCCCACCTACTTAAAAGGGTATGGATTCAGTACTTTAAGTTGGGTGTTGCAATATTTGGAATAAACATATAATCTCCATCTATGTATCTCCGATGGTTATCTCGAAACAGTAAAATCATTTCCACTAAATTTGGGAAAGCCAGATCTGCTCCTCACACTCTGAATTTTATAGGCCAGTGGCATTAAGCAGAAGAGCATATTGACATTCTGGTTAGCAAAAAAGACAGAATTAATATTTTTTACACCTAATGTGGTTGTATACTTTGAATGCCTACAGGAAGCAACTGAAAATCTCCTAGAAAAAAAATCAAACAATTTACTAACCAGTATGGAATTACAGTTCTCACTAGGTGTGATGTTTATAAATTAGAAAATACAATAGGACAAATAAACCATTCAGTTTGGCATGAACTAACACAAAATTGAAAAACCTATTTAAAGATATAAAATTCTAGGGACATAAGAAAATACATCTATCTATACTAATAAAAGGATAATATACTAATTAGACTGGGAGACCTTCCAGGAGATCTTCCAGACATCTTTCTGGACAAAGCCATGGTGGCGGGGCCTAGGCAGAGTCGGTTAGGGGCGATCTGGCTGGCAGGGGAGGGCAGTTGGAGGCAATCAGGCTGGCAGGGGAGGGCAGCTGGGGGCAAGCAGGCTGGCAGGGGGGTGCAGTTGGGGGCGAGCAGGCTGGCACTTGGACATCCCCCGAGGGGTCCCAGATTGGAGAGGGTGCAGGCCAGACTGAGGGACAAACCCCTCCTCCCCCCGTGCATGAATTTCATTCACCCAGCCACTAGTTAAGTATATAAGAGTGTATAGGTACAAATGCTATCTTTAAAGTAAAGATAGCATTTCTCTAAAGATGTATAAATTAAATTCCAAACTGAATTTTTTATTTGTTTTAAAACAACTATTTAGCTCATGTGGAAAGATTTCAATTAAAAGAAAATATACATATATGTGGAGACTTTAATACATAATAAAAAGTATTGTAAAGCTAGCTATAATGATTAAAAAGTAATAAAAGAGGGAGCAGATTTACTGATAAATCAATGAAACTGAAGAGACAGATTTAAGAATAAAAGTAAAGCTGATATTTGATAACCATATATTTTATTTTTTTAATATATTTTTTATTGTTGATAGTATTACAGATATCTTCCATTCCCTCCCATCTTCCCCCCCCCTCCAAGCCCATACCCACCTGCCCAGGTCTTCACTATTGCCTGTATTCATGGGCTATGCATCTACCAGTCCTATCTAATAATAGACAAACATGGTAATTGACCTTACCTTCGCTACACCTCCCATCGGCTAATCAACATGATATGCAAATTAACCGCCAACAAAGATGGCGGCTAATTTGCATACTGCAGGTAGGGAAGGCCAGCATGAGCCACCATCCGGGCCCCCGTGTGCTGCCTAAGCCCCGCCCCCAGCCAGGACCCCCGTGTGCGGCCCTGGGCGGCTTGGGG